AGGTGGGTGGAAGTTGAGCTACGGAATTTCACTCACGGAACCATGCACAATAAGGTCCATGTAAGGGACAGACCTTCTCTACTGCAGAACAATAGGAGGCTGTGGGAGCAGAACACAAGGTCACTGCTTTCCCAGCAGGACCAGGGCCTGCAGAGTAGGCAGGAGCAGAAACCCAGACATCTCAAGGACATGACTCAAGCTCAGTGTGGACAAGAGGTTGCATCCAGTTCTCCTGTCTTGAAGTCCCTAAGCTACACTGCTTGTGTAGGAGAATGGAGATAAAAGCCATGTTGGATCCTCTATACTGGGTCTGCAAGGTTGCTTCCTCTGAGATAGGACTTTTTGTGTGTTTTGGGGACTCCTTTGCCCTGTGGCTGATGTCAGCCTTTGTTTCTGTTCCACCAACCTCGGATACTCTTAATTTCATTTCTAGAACTTTCTGCTTTCCTTGGATGTCTAGTTGTTGTGGTTTTCTGTTTAAACGTCTCTAGGCGACAGGTATTTGTGTACTTAAAGATTAGATGTTGATCCACAACAGAGCCAATATATCCCTGCCTCACAGAATCAGTATATTATCCTAAACATTGGTATCTATGAGAGAGAAAATACATGTTGAGCTTCTCAGGGTATCTGCCCACACCTGAAGACACAGAAACCAGTTCTGGATATGGTAGTGACAGGGTTCAGTCTTATAGAGAAACAAATGCCTTTTCAATATGGATAACATGTTTAGAAATCACATGCTGTTTTAGCTCACTGAAAAGCTCACCTGGAGATAAGATATGCCCCACCCACTTCAAAACAAAGCACATCTGTCACAGAGTTTCTTCCAAAGCCCCTGTCCTGAGTCAGGCTTGCTCCTTGACTCTGTGACAGGCAGAGGCAGAACAACAAGACAGCCCAGGAAACTCAGTAAGCCAAGGGTAAAACTCAGCCTAAATGGAGTTCCTTTGGACAGTTCTATAACAAACTTTGTACTGTTTTTGTGCATCTGAAAGTTTGTACAATTTTCTACAGACCTAAGTATGAAATCATTGTAAGAAACTGTACAGGTTTTTTTCATATCGCTTACACTCGTGTTAATGAAAGTCATCCCAAAAGTTCTTTGTGAACGATGAAAATTTTCTAAAATGATTTCCTACCATGTATTTGGTACTAAGGCTTTAAAACGTTTGCCCTTTGTGGATATGTAAAGATTAAAACTAGACAATGATTAGCAGCTCATCAATAAGCTTTTAGAATTAGGCTTATTAAAAATCTTAACAGGCTTCTGTATCATTCATTTCTACTATAGAGTGTTAAATAATACCTGGTGCATTTAATAATCATATGGATCAATATTAAATACTCCTTCTGAGATACCTCACTCAGAATGATCTTTTCTAGATCCCACCATTTGCCTGCAAATTTCATGATTTCCTCATTTTTGATTGCTGAGTAGTATTCCATTGTGTAATAGTACGACAATTTCTGTATCCATTCCTCTGTTGATGGACATCTGGGTTGTTTCCAGGTTCTGATTATTATAAATAAAGCTGCTACATACATGGCTGAGAGAATATCCTTGTTGTGTACTTGAGCAAATTTTGGTTATATGCCTAGGAGTGGTATACCTGGGTCTTGAGGAAGAACTATTCCTAATTGTCTGAGAATGCACCAGATTGATTTCCAAAGTGGGTGTACAAGTTTGCATTCCCACCAGCAATGGAGGAGGGTTTCCCTTTCTCCACAGCCTCTCCAGCATGTGTTGTCATTTGAGTTTTTTATTTTAGCCATTTTGACGGTATATACTCACTTATATAGACCTATAAGAAACGATAAACATAATGAAATCTATACACCTAAAGAGGATAAATAAGGAAGAAGACCCAGGGAAAAATGATCAGACCTCACTTAGAAAGACAAATGGGATGGGCATTGGACGTAGGAGAAAACAAGTAACAGGACAGGAGCCTACTTAGGTAGAAACACTCTACCTAGCAGTGTATCAAAGCAGGTACTAAATAAGACCCATAATCAACCTTTGGCAGAGTGCAGGGAATCATATGAAAGAAGGGGAGTAGTATGACATACAGAGGATAAGAGCTCCACAAGGACCAAATATATCTGGGCACAGGGGTCTTTTCTGAGACTAATACTCCACCAAGGACCACCATGTATGGATATAACTTAGAAGCTCTGCTCGAATGTAGCCCGTGGTAGCTCAGTAACTAATTACTTCCCTAGTAAGGGGAACAGGGACTATTCCTGACATGAACTCAATGGCAGGCTCTTTGAGCTCCCCACCCACCAAAGGAAGAGCGGTCCCGCTAGGCCACAGAGGAGCATTTTGCAGCCAGTCAGGAAGATACCTGATAAAACAGAGTGAGATGAAAGGGGAAGTGGTCTTCCCCAATCAGTGGAAAGGGGCAGGGAGGAGATGAGGGAGGGTGTGGTTGGGAGGAAATGAGGGAGACAGATACAACTGGGATACAAAGTTAATAAAATGTAACTAATAATAAAAAATTTAAAAAATATTAAATACTACTAATCTTCTACAACATATATACTCTGCAGGCTAGCCACAATCACTACACATGACTGGACTCTGAAACAAAACAGTTTACTATCTCTGATGTATCTGGGAATGTTGGCTTTATAAATAGAATTTTCTGATTTGTTTAATGATTCACGACTGCACATGTATGTGAATACCAGTCCTTATACACGATAAAAATATTTTCCTAAAAAAATACTAAATAGAGCATTACAACTCAGTAAAAGGCCTAAAGCTATTAACTGGTATGAAACAGAGATATACAACTGCTGGTTTGAGGGGGATCCATGGACAATAAACAACTAAAGGATTTGAAAGGTCTCTGATCCTTGTAGCTTAGGTCTTTCGGCATGGCCCTCATAATCAACTGGTGGTAAAACTTCATTAAAAAAACAGAACAGCCTCTGTTAAGTTGGTGTACCTATTGGCCCAATATAACACCTTATAGGGTAAGTCAGTGCTTTGACTCTTCCCTAAGATCAGTGGGGAAGGAACTGCCCAAAGTGACTCCAGTTTGTCTGGCTTTCATCCTACTGCTCTCCACCCCTAGTTGTTCTAATCAACAGAGCTGAAACTGCTGAGCCTTCTGCCCTGCCTGCCTGTGGGATGGAATTGTGGGTTTGGATTTATAAACCAGTCATCCTCACCTAGGTGTAGAGATCTTTCTGGCATGGGCCTGCTCTCAACCCCCGCATAAATGACTCTCAGTCTGACCAGCACTGAGTCTTACATTACAATGGAGACTGAACAAAAAGGAAAACCTTGAAGTCACTGGAAATACAAGCACAACTCACTGTTAGGGAAAGCCTCAGAGACTCAAAGCACCATAAATGCTTGAGAGATGTGCTTCTCTGACAACAAAGACCAGAAGGCGAGACCTCAAGAATCATTCCCATATTATGTTTCCAGGCAAATGGGAAAGCCTGCAACTCAACTCTGCTTCTGACCTCTCATTTCAACAGACCTGAATGCACAGGGGGTGATCTTTGTCTCTTCACACCCGCTGGCCCTTGACTTTGCTCCAGAAATGTCACCAGATGTGGCTTAGAGCCAGCAAGACCTGTTTGTAGGAAAAGGGAACAAGATTGTTAAGTGTTCTTATACTAGGAACTGACATGCCCCTTCCAGTACAGCGTGCATAAGGAAAGAGACGATGCATTAATGACCGCAGACAATTAGTTCCTTAAATGGTTTCTGACAGGTATACTCTAATACATGAAGAATGTACAATGTCCAGATTCTGAGTTTCATTTAAAGGGAAAAACGTTAAAACTGAATTGTCAATCACTTTAATTAACAAGTGTGCTCCATGCCTCATGCCATTAAATTTCTAATAATGAAGGATGTATACTTAAAACACAGACATGTGAAACACACAAAGAGAAAAACAATGATATTGTTCTTAGCTACAGAGCAACCTGCCTCATTTTTTTTAAAAGGACATAAAACTCACCACTGAAACACAAATACTCCCACAAGATAGTGCACAAAGCGGGAAGCTACATGCTGATGGTGAGATACAAATTCACTATAGATGCAATCCTCACCCAGGAACACAAGGTTGCTGTAATTCTCCAACATCACATCCCTGTACAAATTCCACTGAGCAGGCTCCAGGCATTCTTTCTCTTCTGGAGAGAAATCAATGGCCACATCCCAGAAGGACAGCATTTCCTGAAATAAAGACCAATGAATGCAATCTAACTTTAATTAAACCATTAATACTCATATAAATACCAAGATGCACTGGGCTGGATACTTCTCCTGTCAACGTGGCACTAGCTAGGGTCATTTGAGAAGAGAGAAGCGTAACTGCGAAAATGTCTCCAGGAGACCGTCCTGTAGGGAAACCTATGGCATTTTCTTAATTGGTGACTCATGTGAGGTAGCACAGCTCACCCAAGCTCACCCAAGGCAGGTGGTTCTACATGTATAGAAACACACAAGAATGTATATTAGTGCCATATGCTTGCATTGTAGATATACAAACATACATACATATACACACACACCTTCACTGCTCACAGGAGAAAGTCATGGTATGGAAGAAGGAATTTCTCAACACTTAATATGCACAATCGCGAATGTGAAATAAGATGAAAACACAGATTCCGATGCAGTGGCTGTGGCTGCAGTCTGAGTTTCTGCATTTGTACAGAGCTCAGTAGTGATGCAAATGACAGCGACAAGAAACCTGAGATGGGGCAGGCAAGGGGAAGAACAACGCAGGAAGAACTCAGAAAAGTATAAAGATGGGAACAGGAAAAAAAAAAAACACCAAGTAGAGGACTAACACCACCGTTTGAGAATTCAAATTAGAACAGACATCACACTGATCTTTAGTCATTTTCCCTTTCCAGGTACTGACAGGTATTGACTGACGTGTTTGTGATATCGCTAAAGCATGGTTTGTGCATAGGATACCTGTGTTATCAGTGTGCCAGGGCTAAGAATTATATTTGCTGATGCTACCATTTGCTCATTTCAAAATTTTCTAATTTAAGAATTTACGTTTTTCATACCTTATTGAAGAAAGCCCCAGGACGACCTATGAGAATGGTCCGTGTTATTTTGCCTTTTATTACTACATGAAAATTATCAGCAATTTAAGTATTATTGAGGTATTTTGTAACAATTTCATGGGTAAGTTCTGGATTGTCTTTCTCAGTTGTGGTATGTTCGTCTCCTCAAACACTATGTTCTGAGGGGGAGGAGAAAGAGAGGGGAAATAAGAGCTGGAGCCATGAAAAGAGGACCAGGAAACATCAGGAGAAATGAACTGTGCCTAGGATATGATTAAAATATTTGATCTGTCTTTCCAATTTATGAATCCATTGCACTTCTCTGGGGCTTGAGTGAGCCCTGCCCTCCTGAAGAATTGAAAACCTCCAATACTTGTCACCCAGGCTTGGAAGGAAGTGTTTTCTGAAGGTTTATAGCACACACCGACCAGGCCTACATTTGAGTCTTTCATTCTAGGAGGCAGAGGACAATTTTTGTCA